TATATATACTTCAAGATTAATAGCTATTATTATCCTTAATAAAAATGTATTTATATAATTTATTTTTTTTTATTTATTTTTGTAATTTATATTTTTATAAAATCTATAAATAAAAAAATAATATTTTATCTATGTTGTTTTTTTTTTTTCTAATTTTTTTTTACAAAATTAAAATTATAAATTATTCTTAGTAAATTTAAATTTATATTTTATATTTAATTTTATAAATAGTACTTTTTTTTGTAAAGAATATTAGTTTCATGATAAAATCGTATTATTATTACTATTAGATATGATAGTAATAATAATAGACTTTCAAGTGAAAGTATTACCGTTTTCTGAAATGAAACAAGTATTCTTTGAATTTGTGCCTAAATTTATTGTAATTATAAGTATCTATAAATTATTTTTGATTATATTATTATTAACAAATTAAATTTAATTTAATCCCCACAATATTTTATTCTCACCCACATTATACATAAATAGTTTTGATTTTTTATTTGTTTATATGTATTTGTTTATTATAATGAAATTAATTAATTATTCTAAAACTCAAGTTATAATCTGTGGCAGTAAGACAATTTTCTACCTTAACAAATCAAATTTTTTATTTTGAATAGATCAAGTTTTTAAGATACAATATAATCTTTGGGAAAATTTAAGGACTTTTAACAAAAGTTATCTTATGTCATAACGGATAAGAACGTTGATAACGTTAATATTTTATTAAATTATTTTGGAAAATCTGTCACAAGATTTTATTAACAATTTTTTCAAATTAAAGTATAACATTTTTTTTTCCATTAAAATGGGGAAAAAAGGGCTTTTTTCTTACTTCGACTCGATTAACTCTTTATGTCAATGCAAATAAAATTTTATAAAGAATTGTAATAATTGAATTTTGTTTAAGTTAACTTTGGTAATTTTACCTTTTGGCTAAAGACTTTAAATAATATTCTTGCTAAGTCAAACATGTTAGCATATGTATGTTTGCATATGTGCCAAATTCGATTTAAGCAATATTATTTTGCTGAGTAAAATAGATTTGTTAGCCGAAATACTCTTTTAAATAATTTAATTTTTTAATTTTTAATAGTTAATAAACTAAATATAAATAATTACAACGAAACAATTTGAATAGGTATGAGAACAATGAATAAATTTTGCGCTTCAAATATTTAATTACATTATTTAATTAATAAAATTCTACTATATTTTATAAATAAAATAATAATTAGAGCATTTTATTTAAAAATGTAAAATTTAAACGATTTGTAGTTTAAAAACAAATCATACTTAAGGCAAAAAAAATTTTCTTATTTTAAAATCTATATTGAGACTCAGTTACTATTTTCTATATTATTTCTTATACAGTAGACTGCTTTTTTTTTATAATTTCATTTGATTTTACATTTTTATATTGAGGGCACACGAAAAAACACTTTTCATGAACAAACTTAAATAATTCTCGTTAAAAACTCGTATAAACACATTGCTAAATGAATTGAAAACTACAGAAAAGAAATTTATGAGGTTTTCATTTATAAATTATTAAAAAAAAAAAAAAGATCTTTAAGAGTTATAAAATTTGTTCAATAAACTAAAACTAATTTTTGAAAAATCATGAATTTTCTTCGAGTGTAGCACGGATACTGATTTCTGAGTTTTACACCAGTTACATCCACTAACTAAAACTCTATACGTATCAATTGTCAGAGATTCAGTTGTAATTAATAAAAATCTTATAAATTTTTATTGATTTTTTAATACCTACTTATATTACTCTAATATGCATTGAAAACATGTCCAAAAATTCAAAAATATTAAAAAAATTACATTTAAACAATATAAAAACTAAAATAAATTTTTAATCATCATGTTAAATCTTATATAGAATCCTAAATTAAAAAATAAAATATTAGAAGATTTTTATTTGTTAGGCCCTTCCAATTAGGCATAGATGTAAGATATATTTTACATAGTGTTATGTGTGTATACATTTTTTTTTGATAGAAAACAATTTAATATTAAAATTTTTGTATACAAAATTGTGTGTATTTACGAGACAAATATCATTCCAAACATACTAACTCTTCATTGAACAAGTTATTAATATAAATATTGGAACAAGATATTTTTCGCAGTAAAATTTTATAAGTATGCAATTGCAACTATTTCCCAATTTTCCAAATTAATACTCTGTCGAATTCGTAGTTTTGAAAAATTTAAATTCAAAAGTTTTATTTGTTTTTGACAGCATATTTTACTTATGTAAAATACGCTGTCGAAAACAAATGTACCGGTAATATATTACATAAACCAGATCTTCACTTTTGAATTACATAGTTTCTTATATGAAATCAAAAGCTGTACGTCGATATACCTTAAAATTTTCTTTGAAATGTGGCAAAAGTATTTTTTGCGGTAGGTATATATATCTATTTGAAAATTCATCATGAAATTTTTACATTTTGAAGATATTAAAAAATTCTATATAATTCTATAATAAACAGAGACATGTATAAGACGAAAATAGACATAAACTTTTATTAAATGATAAAAAAATATTTTTTTGTCTTTCATTCCTACATTTTATTTAATTGTAGTAATGCAGAAGAAATCAATCTTAAATTTTTTAAATATTGCATACTTATGGGGGATTGATTTAATATTTTGTTCTTTATTATATATTTACTGTGTTCCTTAACACTTTTACTAAACAAAATAAATTAATAATTTTTAATATTTAAATGGAAGTTTTGATTTTACTCCATACATCACAAGGTTCAATTAATTAATTGCTCTTAACTTCTTCAGACTGGTTTAAAGTACTACATTTCTATAAAAGGAACATATTTAACTATATAACTACAATTAAATAATCATGACAGATTCCATAATAGTGGCTGCATATTACTATTGTAAGTGAAGTATTTTGTGGGTTTTATTTATATAATACTATTACCAATACATATATTTTTTGTATTAATACTTAAACACCTACAATATCATTATATAAAAATTGAACGATTTAATGACCATTAAAATTGAATGTGGTTTGAATTGAAATCAATAAGAATAAAGTTGGGTCAAACCAATGGTTTGTATTGTAGCACTTTTCCCTTCAACAAGTGAAAATTCTGCTTTTAAATACAGTCTATGTATACCTATCACATTATTAAAATTATTTTCATTCATATACAAAACTATTTCTAGGATTGCATATATTTAGGATGACGCATATATGCAGTCTTTGAAATAAAGCAAAAATTAATACAAAAAGGGGTTAACACAATGCTCGATTTTAAGGGTTAATTGTGTGAGTTAAGAAAAATAATTATATTTTTTAATTTCACGGAATTTACCGTTAGCTTTTTGCGTTTATAAAAATTTGGAAAAGCTTGCGGTTTCGGAAATATAAGGTGTCAAAAATTCAAATTTTACGAATTTCAAGAGGTGATAACTTGAGAGGGGGTGGAGATGGAAAAAAATTTTCTTCTAACAAAATGAACTATTTGTTAGTAACTAAAAGCTCCTAAAATTTCAAGCTACTACAGTCTGGGGTCTAGAAGAAAAACGACATCAAAAATTTGGAAAAAAAGGACTTTAGATAACGGTAAATTTGAACGGCCATTTTGTTTTTCTAAAGTTTAACTATAGCATACCGCGCAAGGGGAAGCAAGCCACTGCCTTTCTGCGTTTGCAAAATTTCAAAAATGCTTATGGTTTCATTGCAACAAATATTTAAAGAAGGCCATTTCTAGGGTTTTGGGGGGGTATAACTTCTAGAGGGGGGGAGATAGGTAAAAATTTTGTTCTACGGAAATAAGTTTCTAGTGAAGATCTATGTACGTATTAAATTTCAGCTTTCTATCTTCAAAGGTGTAGAAGTTTTGTAAACAAAAAAAGTGTCCACGGACGGACGGACGGACGGACGGACAGAGTGAAACTAATAAGCACTTTTTTCAAAAAAATTTTTGGAAAAGTGCTAAAAAGGGAATACAAAACTTAAAATATGTCGACATAAATCTACAAAATGAGCACGAAATATTTGTGGTAAGACCACAATTTGAAATATTAAGGATATATGAAAATGATTTTCTATGTTAAAAAATCTTTTGTATAGAAATTTTAGACATTATACAATATTAAATTAACAAATTTAATATTAATATAATCAAAAAGAGTATAATATTAATAAAACAGTTTACTTTAATACCATTGAATTTGTACTTCCGTAAGTAATATTAAGGTATATCACAACACAATTCAGTTCATGAATGCAAAGAGCTGAACTTTGCAACAATAAAATATCAGTGAAATGTGAATAATGATCTTTCCGTTTCCCATATCCAATTTTATAAGAAGTATGGTATTAAAGTATAATTATTAAAATATTTTATAATACATACATATTTTCAAACTTAAATTATAAATGACTTAAAACGGTAACCCGTTTAATAAATAAATGATAAATTATATGACACTAATTTATTATGCTGTCATAGAATCATTTCAATACTACACAACTCAGTTTATAAATGTCATTTACTGAATTAGGTAATTGGTTTTGTCGAACTCCTTTATACTTTCGAAAACTTGAAAGTAAATTAGAACAATAATGCATTATTTCATACTATTCAAGGATTGCTGTTTGTAGAGTGAATTGTGGATAAATATAAAACAACTGAGATTAAGTGATAATTCCTTGTCGTAAAGTAAGTGAGGCTAAGTGATAATTCCTTATCGTAAATACACACAATTCTGAATTGTTATAACATAATTAGAATTTAAATCAATATCCTTATACTCGTATTCCAACATAAAATGCATATTGGGATATTTTAAATATTTTTAAATCCAAAAAAACATTGTTTTACATTTTATTAATTTTAGTTTTTTAATTTTATTGAAATTTGTAAAAGGTTCGCCTGCTTTAATTTTTTGATTAAAAATTTGAATTTTATTTTCTATATTTATTTTTGCTTTTTTCTGCATTTCTTTTATATTTATGTATATAATTTTAATACTGTAATAATTTACAAATTTGTTTCTATGTGTGTGTGTAATGTTTTCTTAGAGGATTCATTAGAGAATTTTTTAGAACTAATTTTTCACGTTTATTCTTTTAATTTTTTGATTTCTTTCTTTTCTTGCTTTTGGATTTGAAGTTTTAATTTCTATTTCAAAAATTGATTTAAATTTTATTAATTTTTTATTTATTTTTTTTTTTTTTTTGCTTATGTAAATTTTCAATTATGTTATTTTTTTTTTATAATTATTAAATTATGTTCTAAATTTTACTTAAGTTTTACTTACGTACAAAAAATTTCTTATATTTATAACTTTAAATTAATATTTTACAGGTGATTTTTATATGTATATATTTATTTAACGTATACATATATATTTTGTATGTATAATTGTGTGTTTAATAATTTTTTGTTTTTGAAGATTTTAATTTTTGTTAAGAATTTTTTGTTTTAAGAACAGTTATTTTCTTTTAAAGAATTTAATAAAAATTATGTTCCAGTGACAGTTGTAAATTCGATTTCACCACGTGGTAAGATAAGATCCGGGTCTGCAATATATACTGTTAGTTGTGTGTGTTTTTTTGATTTTTTTTTTTTTTTGTTGATTTTTTGTTTTATATTTATATAAGGTTTTTTAATCAAATTGGTTTTTGTTTTAATGTTTTGTTTTACAATATATTTTTTAATTAATAAATAAATAATAATTTAATTTTTTAATTTTATTATTTTTTTGTTAGTTATACAATAAATTTTATAGCATTAAATTGTTAGTGAAAACGACACAAGTGAAAATCAAAATAATAAATATTTCGATTTAAAATTAAATTTTATTTATTATTAATGATAATTTTCATAGTAGTAGTAGTAGTAGTAGTAGCAGTAGTAGAAGCAGTTGTTGTTGTTGTTTTGTTGAAAATTTAGAAGAAAAGGGGGAAAAAAAAAGAAGAGAAAAATTTTTACAAAATAAATTTTTTTTATTACTAATTTAATTAAAATATACTTTGTTTTTTTTACTATTTACTTTCTAAATGCATCAAAATAATCACTTACTCTTTATTTACGTTAATAACTAAAGCCTTAACTAATAATATACAAAAAAAAGAAAAAACAAGCTTGTGAATATAAAAGTGCAATAATAATAAGCAACGTGCATGCAAAGATTTCATTGCAATTGAATTTATAAAGAACTTTTTATAATATAAATATTTAAGTATCCTTTATTTTATTTGAAAATATTGTAATTAATTTAATTTTCCATTTATTTACATTAGGTTCTTTGTTTATGTTTAATAATGAACAGTAATTTCCCATATTTGCTGGAAATGTTCCAACAAATTACAATAGTTCGAAGTATTTCTATAACTTTATTTGTTTGTTTGGTAGTTGCACCTGCGAAAGCGTAGTGTCCAATTTCTTCGTTATCTGATTTTGTAATAACATTTTGAGAAACTTATTAAAACCGGCAATTTGATATTCAAAAATATTTAATATTCTAACTGATTAAAGTAGATTTCCATTAAATCATTTTGGGGAGTTTAGATTAACAGCAAGTATTTATTAAGTACTTAAGACTTGTTGCAGGCACTAAAGCACTAAAATTGTCATCCCGTTCAATTTATTCACGTATTTTTAAGTTGTGCACGACAACATTCATAACTGGTTAAGATTTTCTTTAAAAATGTTATTAAAAGTTTTTAATTTTTCATATCTTTTTTAAGTTAAAACGAAAGGAAAAAAATCTACAAAAAAAAAAAATAAAAATATCCAGAAAATTTCATAATTAAATTTATTTTTTTTTTCAATTAATTCAAAGCTATAGTAAGTTATTTTCAAACAAAATTTATTTTTATATAACATAAATGTTAAAAATATTATGTAACTGTAAATATTGCAATTAAAATAATATTCAATATTTGTTTGTTGAATATACAGTTACATTTTGGAACTACCATTTTAACAAAATGAAACTTATTTGTTATACAATGTATTTTCTTTTCTACAGAAGAAAAATATTTTTTTTTTTTGTAAAAAATTTTTTAAAAGTTTTGTTCTCCTTTCTGATAATAAATACAGGGTATCCGGCTATTTACGGTGCTCCCAAATTAGGGCGATAAAATCGTTCCAGAAGAACAAAAAATATTAACTTTTGAGCTCTTATTGAGTTATGAAATCTGAAAGCTGGTTTATCTGACAAACGTAAAAATTTTTACATTTTTATTTATAACAAGGGCAATATTACCGGCAAAGTCAACTTAAAGCTTTAGTTGCAAAAACACTTTTGTAAATGAGAACAAAATTTGATTTTCTCAACGTAACTTTGACTATAATTGTATAAACTTGTTATGAAAAATGTAATTTTATAAAGTATTGGTTTTAAAATTTCGATATTGATGATATTTTTGGGAATTCATATTTAATAGTGGAATGAAGATGAGGAAAACGCATTTAATTTTGGAATAGAAAATTTAGACGTTAATAATTCATATAATAAGCAAAACTATAGTTTTGAATAATAAAGCTTAAAAAGTTTTGATATTGTTCTGAAAAAAGGTTTGTCTCAGTTATTTTCTTAATGTTTGGATCTCAAATTTCCGAATCATGACTTTTTGTTAATTAGATTTTCGTCACATCATGTTATATTAAAAATTTAATAGGTTAACTGCGTTTAATCACCCTGTATAAGTAGTTACAATGAAATTGTTATGTATACAATTGTACAAACTTGAAAAATATAAAAAAATACCAATCTTTATAAAAACAAATAAAAATTTTTTGTATGAAAATTTTATTTTACAAATATTTTTTTCTATTTTACATAACAAATATAAAAGATCTTGAAATTACAATAAAATTTAATAGAAAATTAGAATATTCATTGTTAAAATAAGATTGTCTGTTATGTGATTTTAAATTGCCTTAAAAATATTTTAAAATTTTAAATAGTTGGAGTGAAAATTTTGAAAAACAAGATGTTTCGAAAATACAAGGAACGATTAAGTATTTGAAAGCCTAAGCTATAGGCTTTCCAAAATAGCAAAAAACATTCAAATTTCCTTGCTTATTCCTTTAAATGTTTCACGTATTATTCATTTTTTGCATTGCATTTTGAAATTTGAGCTCCGTAAACCAGCTCCGGAAATAATATTAAATAATGCAAATTAAGCCAATAATTATTAAAGTATTATTTATTAATTATTATTTGATGCAATATGGAAGAGGAGAGAGATGTAAAAAATTTTATTTCCAAAGAAATTAATTGTTTTCATAAAAGCCTCTAACCCCTTACTGTGAAAAAGAAAACCTATAAAAAGAAAAAATTTCATTTTTTGGACTTTGGAGGCTAAACCTTTGAGATAGGGGTGGGCGGGAGATATATTAAAATTTTCTTCTAGAGAATTCAATTTATTTCAAGAAAGTGCTAAAAAATATGTAAAAATTCAATGCAATGAGAACATTTGCTTAATGCTCGCGAGTACATGTAAACAAAGTTACAAAAGGATAGTAGAAAGAAATTTTTATTATATAATTTAAAAATCAAAAATGAAAAACTCTCAAAGAAAAACAAAAAGTGTTTGTTCTTTAAACTGCCCTTTACATCCTTTAAAGGATTTTGTATAAAATTAATGTCATTAAAAATCATTCATAAAAGATTTTTTGTTTTTGTTTAATTTATCATTTTTTTTTTTCCTTTAACTTTTTTTTTTAGCTTTTGTGTAGGGTAAGTGATATACTTGTAATTTGGGAAAATAAATAATTCATGAACGCATAGGATGAAATTTTCAAAGCCACATTATAAAAGAGATCCTTTTTAATTTATTTCCCTTTCATTTTGTTGTTGTTTATTTGTTTTTAATTACATTCATGTGACATGTATGTATGTCATCAGGGAAACAAAATTGGTTTTCGGGTTTCGGTTTTTATTTTGTTTAACTTTTCTTTTCCTATGAATGGGAGAAATGTTTTATATTCGAGAAAATGCAAGACAAAGGTTTGATTTAAAAAAATAATATTAAAGTAAAATTTTGTATGTATATATTTGTATAAAAATTATAAAATGTAGAGAAGAAAATTCTTGAAAGGATTTTCAAAAAATAAGAGAAAAAAAATGTGTAAATTTTCACACATGCAATAATAATTGTGCCGCAAAAGTTTTGATTAAACGCTGAGGGTTAAACGCTTTGTAAACGAAAAACCTGTGGTTATAGTCATTGAATTGGAAAAATTATTTTGGTACATTAAAAAATCTAGGTCTCTTAAAATTTTCGGAAAGCATTTTACATGATAACTTGTCATTTCGCAATAAAAATAAAATGTTGAAATTTAATGGTAAAATATTTAAAGATTCAAATTAGAATTAAATTTTTAAACTTAAGCGGAAAAGTAGAAGATGAAACATTTGACTGATAGATGAAATGCAAGAGATATCTATCTTTTCGTATTTCGTTTTCATCTTTATTTAGAATTTGTTTATGGCTTCCATGCACATAACTCAAATATATTTTCAACAACAGAAATAGAAAATTCGCCACGGTTTTACAAATGAAAAAATGATTTTTTTTTTAATTAACACAACCATGTTCGTTCTTTAAAAATTATTATATTTAATTAGCCAAAATATGTGAAGCTTCACTCCATTCTTTGTAAGTCTTCATAACGATAAAAATAAAAAGTTTCATTTCAAAACCATAAGTAGGCGAATAAATAACTTTGTGATTGAATAAAATAAGATTTTTTAAGAAACCTTACAGAACTCTGTTTACAGACGAGACTATAACTATAAGTATAACTATGAAAATAATTAAAAAGAACTTTTATAAATATTTGAAAAAGACGATGTTGTTCGTAAAAGAAACACAATACTTTAATTCACAGGAATACTTTAGCAAATTTCATGAATTATTAAAGAATACTCTCAATTATTAAGTTTGAATGTTAATTGAACAAACTTTCATTAGTATAAGGTTAAAGTTTTACACAAAAACCATTAATATAGTTTGGACTATGAATATAAGTAGGTAGTAAGTAAGTAAGAATTTAATAGCCTTATACAAAAAAAGGAGTATGCCTTTAAACATTAAACAAGTAAAGAAGCTAGTTCGTTATTATTAAAATTACCCACTTCCAATGAAATTTCTTTAAAGTAAAATGGCTTTAAATAATTTCTTCAGAATCTTAGGTGTCGTGACGAATTTGTAAACATTTTACTAAATAAATGTTGTAGGCATATTGCAGAAATATTGCATTTGTTTAGTTTTTTTAGACTCATACCTATTTGAAACAATTTAAAAGTTTTTATGCAAGGTGTCCATTTA